TACATACATACACACACACACACACACACACACACACACACACATATATATATATATATATATATATACATATATACACACATACACACATATATACACATATACACATACATATACATACATACATACACACACACACACACACACACACACACACACACACACACATTACATATTATTATTATTATTATTATTATTATGTTACTCATATCCTTAGCCTGACATCCACATATATGTGTTGTTTTAATAAGTTTACATGTATTTAAAGCGTGTGGGAGGGGTATTTTAAGGCTTGTTCTATATTGCGGATTTTCACCAATCGCTGATGGGTCTGGAACGCATCTTCCGCGATAGGCAGGGGATCAATTTATCGTCCAGCAAAATTTGTTATCGTGACAGGCCTAACAAGAAGTTCAAGACAAACAACAAATTTTTGTTATTCAGCAATACTTTTAAAAAGAGCAGCAATCAAAACATGCTTCCTCTTCCCTAACCTTTCTGTGTTAGATGTCAGTGGGTCCTAGGGGAGCCAACATTGAGCTGTTGGACTGGTCTGGCTGCTGAGCAGGATCAAGCCGACGTGCATCAGAATTGCCTGGGCCAGATAAAGGGCATTTATTTAAAGGGTTATTTAAATCCGTCGACCAAGCTGTGTTTCGCAGGAGGCATCCTACTGAGTACTAATGGCGAAGCCAAACTCTACAGGGACACATTTGGTAGTCTTTGACTAACCATGTCCATCCAACTGATTATAAATACAGGTCCTCACCCCTCTGTGAAGTTCCAGGAGACACTCAAACGGTTACAGTTGACAGTTCTGTATTGTGACTTTCCTCATTGCATTGTTAAGACACTCATTTGAAGGAGGTGAAGCAAAAGTATCCGACAGCTTCACCCAATGTAAACCAGAATAGACACTCCTCAGGCATTCATAAATGTTTATACAATAGTGTACTGTATACTGTAATTAAAAGAATGAAGTACAAATTTATAAACTAATATATATATATATATATATATATAGTCTTGTAGACTGTGGACGCTAGTGCAGTGAATACTAAGTGCCTGCAGGAACTGAGACTGAGACAGGGTGATGTGAGATGCGATGCTTGACGCTGAGTCGCCACGCTGCCATTTCCACGGCCAAAGTTCCCGTACAGCATGCAGTTCTGTAATAAATCCACTGACATATTCTAGATAGAACTGAATAAGCTGATAGCAAGAATTACATTTTCTACATTATTTCCTGCGTCATCCTTAAAGATAAACAATCCTTAAGTGGCTCAACAAGTGAAGTTTACACACATGGAGCACCTCTGCTGCCAAGCTTGCTCTCACCTATGTGCAAGCCATGGAAAGTCAAACAAGGTTGGCAAAAAGAGAATTTCCCCACAGGGATCAATAGAGTGTCTTCCTTTCAAATAACCACATAGGCCAATACAATCTATTGAAAGAAATATTCAAAATAAATGTTTCATGGGTAAATGATTACCCATGTCTGCCGCCAGTCAATAGTGCTTTAACAAACCGAACAAGCCACAGGAAGATGATGCCAAGACAAAGACTTCCTCCAGTGGACACAAAGGAAGGAGGTCGCAGGCCCATCTTGGCAATGCGGGATCAAGTTTTCTGCCTGTAATGAACACCTGTAGCCCTGACATGACTACCTTTCAAAATGAATAGGTGTTGTGACCAGGAATATCACAGCAAATACAAAAGCTATTCTATCTATTCTGCACAAAGAGAGAGATCATCCACTATTGCAAGTAAAAATAAGATGATTTTCATCAAGAGGCCCTGTAAATTTGGGGGGGGGGGGAGAGAGAGTGATTCCAAGGGTCCTTGAGTGACAGGGGCCCTAAAAAATTTGGAACATAATTGGACTGGTTTGCGTTGAGGGCCCCATAAAATATGTTTTCATGGGGCCCAAACTCTCTAGTAAACACCCATGTTTCCAGCTTATGATATTACCAAAAACATCAGCACATAGGCTGTTCAGGTTTCATTTACAAAGAAACCATTACAGAAACCTAGCGTTAGAAAGTATGTAAGACTGAATACAAATAAGTACCAATCTGACTTTTTAATCCTTGTGATAATTTATATCCTGGTCACTATGTACATTGTACGCAGTGCTTCAAGTAAATACTGAAGATCTAAACACAGTAACAAGCTATTAATTCCATGCAACGATCTAACCTTTAATCCAAACTGGTAGCCAAAAACGAACATGCCACCTCTTTCCAATGGGCAAAAAGTATTCCTGTTAACTTTAAAACACAACTATAATATACACATTATATCTGTTGACGTACTACTAGGGAATAACCAACATTTTTTCTGTCTTTTGCATGGTTCTATCTAAAATAAAAACTTTATTAGTAACTATCGGGAAACTAATCGGAAAACCTAGGCTCCCAGACTCGTGTATAACATTTCTACATTAAATTATCAGAGGAACACAGCCTAAATTATTATAAAAAAGCGAAGCAGAAATAAAAAATGTGCGCGTTCATGCATAAATGAGCCGGGGCGCTTTACATAAACAGTGCATCTATTGAATCGGATAACAAACAAGGAACTGGAACATTCTAGAGAAATACAAAACCGATCTAAACACAGAGACGCTGTTCTCAAATTCATTCTCTTTTTTATCAAGCACCAGAACGGCATCCTTGTTTTTCAAGCCTGCAATTCCACCTAGATAACAAATATCTACCACTGAAAAAGAGAAGACAGCTTTGCTCATTTTCATTTGTACAATAATGCATGCACGCTATAAAAATCAACACGCTGCATGTGCACGCTGCACGCACAGCACCTGCTTTGTTAGTCTTCACATGCTGTAGTACTCATTACTACACCACAAATAACATAAGAAATTTACAAACGAGAACGATATTGCTTCAGTGCGCGAGACTGAAACACATTTGATGAGCAACTTAATAATAATGCATGCGATATATTTTTTTCTTAAGTGTTTATTAAAATTTATTCTAAACGCTGTGGAGGAAACTGGGTCAAGAATATATTGAGAAATTTTGTGATAAGTGAAAGTGAGTGTCTGTATTTGCAAACTGACCTGACAAGCGGAGAGATGCGCCACTTACCAGCTGGAGGATTTTGAGGATGCCGACGCTGGATCTCAGATAGCCCGTGTCCCACCTGATACCGCCCAGTCGGCTCCTGGACTGCACAGGCTCCGTGGTGGGCTGATAGGGGCTGTTTGCCCCAGAGTTCATTGAAGTGTTCGAGGCCTCGCCACCAATTCCACACATCTCCTCGGTATTTCTCATCTTGACAATTCGTATGTAATATTATAAGCAATAACGCGGATATTGCTTCAATATATAGCTAATAATTACAAGCGTTACGTTAGACACAAACTAAAAATGACAACTGCTCGACTAAGAATAACTAATCTAGTGAGCCGTGTCGGAACAATTCTAATATTATTTTGAGCCTGAGCGATTCAATACCGTGTTGTTCACTCCAGCACATCTACCCGAAGTGCCCGAAACCGGTGTATTAATTATATAATAATCAAACCGAAACTCGCAGCCCGGTGATAATTGATTAATTGGCTTACTTTCACTCAGCACACCCCATCGACTCATTTTCGAGCTGGAAAGGAAAGCATGCTCCTCTCATCGTTACACTTTCGCTTACAGACCCCTGTCCTTTCCTTAGCCTACACCATAGATGGAAAAACGTGACGTAGCTTTCATTGGAGCGTTACACTCTGGAGGCTATGGCCGAAATGCCGATCGCGCTCCGCTGTGTCGCTCCAGGAGTCAGTCCCCGCCCCGTCGGTCACTCGCTTCCAGCTTCCCCCAAGGAGGAAATGCGCACTAAGGCAGGAGTCCAACCCAAACCAGTTGCAAACGTCTCGGTCCGACAAATCCAGAGGCGTCACACTTCCGCATGCTCCTCCAAACCCCCTTCCTCTTAAAGGGATGCAAAGCATACCAAACCGGAAGTACAGCCACTGGAGCGTCCTGAAACCGAAACGCTCATTGAAGGACCCGGAAGATTGAAGGCAATGGGAATCCGCAATTATAATTACATAAATACAGTTTTGCATGCTGTAGGAAATTCAATTCGACAGTCGGCGAAACAAGTTATCCACGGTAACGGCGTTTTGAGATCGTAACATGGATTGAAAGACGATGAAAGAATTAACTGTAATTGTCTCCCGATTCGTTATCCTATTGGTCTGAGAAAAACACGGGCATTAATGATCGGCATTTTAAGAGCAAGCAGGAAGTTGCCAAGTCTCTAGGTACCGAAAGGGGGGGGGGGGGGGGGGGGTTACCTCCCCAGTAATTAAAACCAACCAATGCAACCCCCCTGGACCCCTCTTAAATGGGTGGAGACTTCAACCCCGCAATACTCAACCCAAAGTTGCCCTTGGTGAAAACTCAGACACGTTTGCATGTTGTGTAGCAAATGCCGTCCAGTATGGACATAGGACATTACCAAATAAAAAATAAATAAAATACCTGTAGTGCGGAATCAGCTATATTGGAACCGGGATCTACGTACATACTTGAAATACTTAAAAAACTTAATACTAAAAAAAAGGTGCAAATTTTAATTCAAGCAGCATGTAAGATTTAGTTTATTGGAGCCAAACATACATATTTATGGTAAGCAGACTTCTTTCCATGTAATATTAAACTGTCACTGGAAATTATATGCAATTCAACATTCAATATGAAGAATTTTGGTGGGGGAAGCACCAGCTATAGCCTCTTTGGAATATAGGGAAGCAGGATTTGAGTCCGAGGACAAGACTGCTGCCTAATTCCTGCAGACAGATGCCTTAAACTACACAGTGGTTCAGACAACAGTATTGCAAGATGAAATATGGAGAAGTGGAAAGCCTATGTGAACAGTCAATGAAATATGACAATAATGACAATGAAGGGATGGCAGACATTTTACAAAAATTCTTTACCAAAACCCTAGGAATTCAAAGGTTGAAATCGCTGTAATATTTTACAAAACTCAAACAGTTTTCTAAAGTTTGTTTTTAATACACAGGCCTTGTTTAATCATTATGAATACAGCATTAGGTCAAACATAAGTTTACAGTGCTGTTTAAAGTAAGTAAATAGCACTTACTCAGCAGAAATGGCTAGAGTGTCTTAAGGCTGATTTGTCTACCTCAGAAGATCAAAGCTGTGGCGTTTTTTTTTTTTTTTTTTTTTTATTATTCACTGCTATTCATTAACCACCAATACTAGGTACTAGCATAGTTATTTTGCCTTTACCAGCTAAACAGATGGGAAATGACCAAATACTGAAAAAAGTGATCTTTGGTTGATCCAATTCTTTTCTTTTAAAGCACTAGTACATTTAATTTCTTGTATTCAGGCAGTTATAAGTCTTGCATGTTGGTTCACTACAGTGGTGAAACTGATGTAATGTTAATAGTTGAAAAGCAAAAAAAAAAAAACTGTCAACGATTTCCTGTAAAGCTGATATCTTAAAGATTCATACCAAGGTGGTTGTGAAAAGGTGGTACCCAGCCCAGAGCTCACCCACTGCACACATATGCAGACATCACCATCAAAATTATACATCGGAAATTTCTAACTGCTATACCAACTCACCATCAACAATTGCAAAGAGGTCAGACTTAAAATCCCCATGAAGTGCTTCGTGTAGACGATGGGAATGTTTTAGCATCTAACAATGACAAAAATCACGTGATTGACTACAATTATGCCACTGACTGATCAATTTGGCCACAGTGTTCGCTGATGCGAGAGAGGGCTGTTCTCAATGAGGAACGCACTATCATTCTGGAAACCTGTAGAAACAGTCACTTCATTTCAATTTATTCCACCTTTTTGTTAGAAAAACAAAAAACAAAAGGGCATTCTGCCTATTGCTCAGAGATTCAGACCTTTTCATACAGGCACTGGCAATGAGAAATTCATTATAAACAATAAGCAAAAGGCCAAAAGTCTATAGTACAAAACCATAAATACAAATTTGGAAAAGTGGCAAAAAAGTGTACTGTAATAAATGTTCTTAGTAGGCAAGCACCTCTACAATGAAAAACTGTTCAACACATCAGGCACTTGGAGTTATAGCAAGTAAGGGTCCCTACCCACCCAACTCTGTAGCCAAAAGGTCTGCTTTAAATACAACCTGACATACCAAACCTGACAGATTTTTTTAAATATCTGAAATTTGTATTCATAATTTCAAAATAACCACATTTTATACAGTGACTGATGTAATAGATTGCTTATATTTACAGATTTCAAAACAAAAATGGTGTCATTACTGTCTAGCAGTTGTCTGGATTTAAACAGCATAACCCTCAAAGTCCTACCAGCCAATATGTTCATCACATTAGTGTTATGATGTCAGGCTAGTTTAACATCTCGAGTAGCCGCAAGGTTTCTCTTTTAAACATTTGGTGCTGTGAACTGGATTTATTTTTAATATGATTTCTGTATTCATCGAACGAAATTGTCAAATTACTCAGACCAAAATGAAGGCTCTTTTCATTCCCAATTAGAGAGTACATTTTGGGTCTGTTGGAATGCACTCAAACACTGGAGTTGAGCCATCTCCCCAGGCCGAGGCACATTTTGAAACGAGCCTTGTACATCCGTAGTCCTACCTTTATACTCCACATCTTCCACTTTCACCTTCCTCTTCCCACCACAAGAAAAACAGACCTGATCGTAGTATCTCATCATTAGACCATCATCATCTGCTGTTCATTGATACGCATTGGGAATTTGGTCATTTGCATTTTTTTGTTTCAGCATGTATTGTAGCATTTTCAATGGACGACCCTGTGGGTGAGATCACGCCTCATTCTCCGCTGTTGTGTTAGCCGTTACCATGGAGTCTGGTTTGCGAGTCATTCTGTCCAACTCTGCCTGAACATCAGTCAAAACTGGCTTCTGCCCTTAAAAGAAACAAAAGAACAGTAATTTTATTTGGGGGTTGCATGAAGGCCTGCATCACAAACAAAGCAAATCATGTTTGCATACATGGCATTAAATGTAAATTCACACTTAAATCACACTCTTCACATATCCACATTATTAAAATACCCAGAACGTGTGCCTGTTCTATACTGATGAAAAAATGTCCATTTCCCCCTGACAATCTCTGCATCAGTTTGTCCCAACAGTTCATCCCAAGCTCTATAAATAAGTAACAACCACCGAGTCAAAAGGCGGCAGGAGAAACACCATTTATCATGGCATAAATCCAGGTTAATGAGGAAGCAGAAGATAAAATACCAGATATGAGCAGGGGGAAGAGACCAGTAGGCACAGAAGAGCAGGAGAGCAGGGGGAAGAGACCAGTAGGCAGAGCACATGGTTGAGAAGAGCATCTCACCGGTTTTCTTGACTGAGCTCTGGACGGCTCCCCCACCAGCACCAGGGCTTCCAGGGGACCCAGTCTTCTTACTCAGCAGGCTGTTGAAGAAGTTGGCCAGGACACCCTCATTTGCAGCAGCACCTTGGAAGATGTGGGGGAGGGGGCATTCAACAGATTGTGGTTAGAAAAGGGCTACCATTCATAGAAATCAAATATGATTTCTACCAATTCATCTTGATGTTATGTAGACATTATCTACATTCTGCAAATCTAGTGCATATGACATGTTAATGAATCACCACAAACCCCACCAGAAAAGGCGATTCGCTGATAGTACCTGTATACCAGGCATTCACAGGAGTTCCACCACAAAACACATTTCTACACTCGCACTTAAAAAAGGCCCTACCTTTCATATTTGGGTCAGGTTTTTTGACAGTCGTCATGGGCGAAACACTGGCAACGTTGGCAGGTCCTGCCCAACCGGCGGGCCGGGGTGACGTTGACACAGGTCGAGCGGGCGATTCCTGTTACAGAAAGAGTGAACTGCCCTCTTTAAACATCTGCCAGGATTTTGACCTGCTAACAGCATTCATTAAATGACATGCTTCATCAGTTTCACATTCACAAAAAAATATATATCATACTATCTGAAGGGTGATGTACATGACCACCAAATTCACCAGAAGGGACCAAAAATGTATCACATAAACCAACCAACTTTTTATATGAATGTTATGACTAAGCTTTTACAAATCAAAAGACAAAATTTCCCCCTGGAATCAATAAAGTCAATCGTAAATCGTAATAGCGAAAGGTGAGAAACCCATATTGAGGCAATGACTGACCCCACCACTTTAAAGCAGTAATATTATAATGAACTGTGTACGACACAGGAGTAGCATTTGTGCTGGTATTACTCACCGTTCCTCTTGTTAGAGTGGCCGGCTGTTTTGCCAATAGCGACTGCAACAGGAGGGGTGATAAAAACACAACAAATTAATGAACTGTATAAACATTTTTCTAATGGGATCCACAAAAAAAAAAAAAAAACGACCGGATTCTCTATTGCTATGGCGGGGGCTCTGTGGGACAGAGCATGTGCCAATGTTATGGGTTCAAATCTTATATCCGGAAGCATAACCATATTACTGCTGGGCACCAAAAACTGTTTGAAGGGCAATGGAAAAATGGCTGACCCTACATTGTGAGCCCAAGGCTCACTCTCTCACCTATGTTTGTCTCTCTCTTAGGAGAACAAGAGGGGACATGCGAAAATGAAGGAATTCGTAAGTACTTCTACATGTACAATGGTGAATGAGATGTCATCATCATTAGTGATATTCCCTGGCCTCTACTCACCTGCTGCTTCATGAGGAATACCTGGTCATCTTCTGCATTCACCTCTTTATCATGAACCAACTGGATTGATACAGGATGGGAGGAGGGAGACGGATGGAGGCAGTTAACACAGTAAGAAAGTATCAGAAATCCTGATCCTGAATATGTAGAATATGAAAAACAGTCATTAAAACACTAGTTATGAAAATCAGAACTATGTGCAGGTGTTGGCTTTGCACAAATACATAAGGTAAAGAGCACACACTGATTACAGC